TTGCCTCCAGTTCTTGAAGTGTAAAAGGCACATTATACTGTTCTTCTCTGAGAGAAGAAAAGTCCAAGGGTGCTAACTCTCTGGCAGACTTTGAGGAAAGAAATGAGGGGCATAGATGGAGTCCCTGAGAAATACGGACCAGATGATTGCCAATTTCATTGGCAACATCTAGTGGGTTTGCTATATCAACACCGGCAACCCGCAGAACAGGAGCCGGGTCAGGAGAATATTTACCACTCAGTTTTCGTACTTTTTTCCAGACTGCACTCATAGAGGAAGCAGAGGTGATGTGGAGACATAATCTCGCCAGCAGTGCGTTTAGCATCACGGATGACATGGCGAGCGATCGCACGCTTCTGTTTAAAATCAAGGAGTCGCTCTGTGGTTCTATTGTACCGGTACCTGCCCCATGCAGCTCGTTTCAAACGTACTGCACGAGCACAAGCAGGAGACCACCAAGGCACGCATTTCTGAGAATGCCTGCCCGAAGTATGGGGTATAGAATGAGAAGCTGCAGTGAAAACGGAGGACGAGAAGAGGTGTAAAAGCTCATCGATGGAGGACGAAGAAGGAACCTCTTTAAAAACAGTTAGATGTGAGTAAAGTTTCCAATTTGCCCGATTAAATTGCCAGCGTGGGGTGCGAAGAGGTGGCGAATATGAAGGGGAAGTAAGAATGATTGGGAAATGATCACTGTCATGTAAGTCCGGGAGAACAGACCAAGTGAAGTCTAATGCGGCGGAGGAAGAGCAGACTGAGAGATCGATGCAAGAGAGAGTATGAGTCCGAGGATCAAAATGGGTGTGAGTACCTGTATTTAAAACATGGAGGGGGTGGGTGGCAAGAAAAGCCTCTAACTGAATTCCACGGGAATCACAGTGAGACCCCCCCCCACCCTCCCCAGAGGAAATGGTGGGCATTAAAATCACCAAGTAACAGAATCGGTGGCGGTAATGACGAAACAAGGAAGGCAAAATCCGGAATAGATAATGCCCGAGAAGGAGAGAGATATAAAGAACAGAGCGTATACCACCTATGTATGTGGATACGGGCTGCTGTGTAATGCAGCGAAGTATGAACAAATAGCTGATGGTACGGAATATCAGTGCGGAGAAGGGCACTTTCATTAAAGGTCCCATCAGGAAAAGGATCTGAAGAATACAACAAATTATAGCCTGAGATGTGAGAAATAACAGCAGAGTGTAATTTTGGTTCCTGTAAGCAAACACCAACAGGGGCAAACTGGGAGAGTAACATCTGAAGCTCACCCCGATTACCCCTGAGGCCGCGTATATTCCACTGTAATAGGCCATGATTGGCAATGATAAAGATACTTGAAATCCGCAGGTAAGGGTTCCTACGGACTAGAAGGGTTAGAAAAGTCCACATGCGGAGGCAGTGGGAAAACGTTCAAGCAGCGAAGGAACGGTGCGCTGTGAAGAAAGGAGTTGCGCGATGGAGCAGAGGAGAGAGAAAAAGCGGAAGGTGGATCAGTGTCCATTGATGGTTTGGTCTCTGCAATAATTCAGAGATTGCTTCAAGGTTTCGGAATTCAGAGATGTCGTATGGGAGACAATATTGGGAATGGTAGGGGGAGGATGAGTAAGATTGGAACTGTATTGGACTGTACCAAGGTAGGGGGGGGCGAAAGGGTGGAGGGAACTGGAGAAGCGTGGTAGGGGACAGAAGAGGCAGGAACCTGGGAGGTGGCGAGAAGAGGAAGAAACTTGGAGGGAACAGGGGAGGAGGTACAGTACGAGGGAGAAGGGTGAACCTCTACACTTGTAACTGAGCCAGTGAGAGGGAAGAACCAGGACAGAGACAGGGAGGGTAAAATGAGGAGGTGGAAGATGGGTAGGAGGTGTTAACGGACCTTTTTTTGACTTTTGAGAAGTAGAGGGACGATTGGGAGGAGGTGTCATACGAGATCTCGTCGATACTGAGGCTTGTGAGAGAGAACTCGAAGAAGCGAGATTAGACTGAGGCGTTGAAGTAGGGACGTCTGAGCCGAGGACAGCAAAAGGATTAGATACAGGAGTGATTATGGGAGAGGTAACCACAGAGGTGGGTGTAGAAGATGGGATACCAGAAGTGGGGGGACCTTTTGAAACACGGGAATAAGAAACACGTGGGAGTCTCCCTTGGAGGCGGAGATGAGAAACTGCCATGGCATAAGGGAGACCTTCTGTCTCTTTGAGGTAACGGATTTCCCGCTCGTTTAAATAGACCTGACAACGGCGAGAGTACGAAGGGTGAGCCTCATGACAGTTAAGGCAAGAGGGAGATCGATTGCAAGACGTATAGAATGGTCATCGGCACCACAGACTGGGCATTCGGCGATAGATCTGCAATATTTCGCTGGATGGCCAAATCGCCAGCAATTTCTACACTGTTGTGGTGTAGGGATCACCTTTCGAACTTGTAACCGATGTCCTGCTATATAACTGAGGATGGGAGTTCTCGGCTGTCAAAAGTTAAACGAGCCACATTGCTAGGGTATCGTCTCCGCCCACGCGGAAGAACATAAGTGTCTACCTTGAGATTGGGAGATCTTGGAGTTCCAGCTGTTCAAGAATGTCAGTGCCACATGTCTGGAAATTTTGTTGAACTATGGTATGGGGCAGAATGACGGTACCACTACAAGAATTGAGGGAATGATGTTTTTCAAGAGTGACAGGAACAGTATCGATATGGGAAAGACGAGAGAGCTCATGAGCCTGGGTAGCATTCTGTACGGTAATGATGCGCGTACCGCTCTTAAGAGCATGAAAAGAAATATCTTTACCAACATGGCGTAGGAGTGCCTTGCCAATACTATGGTCAGAAAGATAGGCAGTAGAGGAAGTTGGTCGTAAAGTGAAGAATTTAGTCCATTGTTCAGTCTGAAACTGAGCGTGGAAAGGTAGTGAAGGACGTGTCGATCGTTTCTGAGAAGAACGAGAAGGTGGAGAAGTATCATCAGCAGGTAATTGTCGTTGGCGTTTAGGCGTGGGACCAGAGTTGGTCTGACGTGGAACGGGTCGGCGATTTGAAAATTGCTGCACCGTAGAGGGAGAGGCCGGAAGCATAGTCAGAGGAGAGCGAAGGTCCGATAAATCGAAGAAGTCAGTCGAGGCCTCAGTACCTGAAGCGGGTGAGGAAACAGCACGCAATAGGTACAGAGGCATGAGGAATGTCTGAAGAGTGGTCCAAAGACGAGGCGGGGTCAGAACGGGTGCGGTATCAAGAAGGGGCCCGGGGTACCAGTTCATGGACTAGGGCTGCCATGGTTAGGTTACTTCTTTCTTTTTGTTTTTAAGAAAAAAAAGAAAGAAGAAAAGAAAATAAAAATAAAAAAAAAATAAAAAAAGGGGGGACCGGGGATGGGATAGTTCCTAGGAGGAATGAAAGGGCCAGAAATCTCCCTCCGCGCCCAAGAGGACCTCAGCACCGCAAGTAGCGCAGATGCAGCATGGAACCCGTGCCATACCCTACCCATCATGCTAGTAAACTAACAATCCGGGATAGCAACCTCACATCTGCCGAGCTACCTCAGTGGACAAAAGAGAGGGCGGCCGGATATCCGCCACAAAGCATACCTCCTTCGGCCACCACCCCCGGAATCCGAAAGGTGGCTTCCAGAGATACACTCGTCGCCCGAAAGACACCCAAAGCTACTCCGGGATACCGGAGAGGGATCGGGACATCCCCAGGCGATCCAGATTCCACGGCAAACTACGCCACCGCTAAGAACCTCAACGGAATGGGATGGACCCCGGTATCCTTTCCCCTACCTAGGAACTAGCGCGCCTGTGGGAGAAATCCCAAAGGACAAAAAGAGGAAGGGCAAAAGGGAGGGGTGGGGAGGAGGAGGAGGAAAGGAAAAAGGGGAGGATGGGGAGGATGGGATAGGGGAGGGGAGATTCGGGGGTAATTAGGTTCGGTCTGAGGAAGAAGACCGATAGGTCAAATTCCTCAGACCAAGAGCCTCTTCACCACGCCAAGGAGCCCCCCATGAAGAGGACTAAACCCATAGGGATTATAAAGGATGCAATGGACAAAATCTGATCTGATTTGGGTGCTTGTTAATCCCAATAATTACCCACTCTTTGGAGTGGGACTCCCCTGCTAATGCAGGAGAGTCCCATGTAACCTTAACAGATGTAATGTAAACAAAACAAAATGTTTAATGCTCTATATAAAAAAATAATACATAAAGGGCAGAAAAGTTGGAAATTATTGAATAGTGTGAACATTCTGTTAAAGGGTTAGCAAAAGAATATGGTATTGGAATATATCATTCCCAAAAATGACATTTTAAAGTGTAGTGTATATTTTAAATGGCAATACTACACAGGTACTAAAGTGCTGTTATTATGTACAGTATACAGTGTAAAATCCTTCACACCAAACTTTTTCTATTTGTGAGACAGACAACAGCTTTAATTCTGCCAAGCTTAGCACTTTTTTTTTGATAATGATAATATAATAATAATAATTCTACCGAGGCAAGAGAAAAATGTTCTCTTAACTTTTTACCGAATTTTTATATTGTATGTTTTCCACTTATTTTTGGTACTGGTTAGATTATGCTTAAAAACCTATTCTATAATTGGTGTTATCAATAAAAAAAAAATAGCAAAAAACAAAAAAAATACTGTCTCACTATGCAAAGATTTCTCTCCCAAATTTAAAGGATTGGGTCCTGCCCCAACACCAACTAAAAAAATAAACGAAATATTCAACATTCACAAAATTATCGTTCAATAATAAAAGGAAAAATCATTACTACAAATAATATTATTATTATAATCAAAAAGAAGCGCTAACCCACAAGGACTACAAATAATAATAATGTAGCATATTAGCACAGTATTTGGTTTAGTGATTAGTTTTGAATGTAATAATAATAGTAGCACGGTAGGGTCAACATAAGAATTCTGATTGAACCCGTATATAAACTAAGGATAAGTGTACATGCACCTAATATAACTCATGAAAGGGCAGGTAAAGACAGTAAGGAGATTAACAAAAATAACATTTTCCATGTCTCAGACATCCAAAATGTTATTTTTTTTCTTTTGTATTTTTTAACATAAAGTACAGTATTTCCATACAAGGGCATAATGTGTATCTTGGCATATGCAGAACCCATACTTTACATTAAGATTTCCCCCCAAATATTACTCCACATTTTAAGGAGCAAGATTACCATTACTGGTGGTTACTTTACTTTTGCTAAGTTTCTTATCAACTGGGCTGTGATGTTTATGTCAGATTGCATGAAGTTAGCACCAGCAGCCTCACTGATAAGGCTATCACACAAGAAAACCTGGTTTAGACGTAGACCACAGAATGACCTCTAAAACTAACTTTGAGTAACTCAAACTTTAGGTATACCCCATAAAAAATTTAAAGAATTTTTTTCTGTAAAATATAAATGCATATTATACTGTAGTGAATTAAAAAGACAATTTTAACAAACAGATTCTATTTTAGGACTGCCCATTAATATCTGTTTGGCTACAAATTCTTGTTTATTATCACTTGTACTTTGCTGTACATACAATTTAATAACAGTTCTGCATGCCCACACCTCAGGTACTGCAACAGGTTAACATTCACACTGCACACTTTCCTAAAATGTACAGTATATGTATACATGATAAATTTACCACTTACATACTTTTCTAATTAATACAATATTTACATTTGGCACCTGGACATTGCCCTAATGCATAAGAATATCTTTGTGGTGTTGCACTGATGCAAACAGAACGCTGAGTCTAATATGTAAAATCAGTTCTAACTTAACAAGTGTACCTGTCTGAACTTTAGTAAAATGATAAACAGATCTCCTTGGTACATTACCTTATTTATTTAAACCAACAGGTTTTAATTTTACTCATGCTATATATGTAAGCAATCACTTTTATTCTCTAGTCACATTCTTAATATGTAGCAAGATTATAAATATTAAATTTTAAACACCTTCATGAGCTATTACTCTTTAGACAATTATAGCAACTAGCTTACTGATGTCTGTAGCTATACATTATGGAGAGTTCAGCACCTCCTTTGATTATACAGTGGTACTCCGAGTTTTGGCCATAATTCGTTCCAGAAGAATGTTCGAGTGCCATTACTGAACGAATTTGTTCCCATAAGGAATAATATAAAATAGATTAGTCTGTTTCAGACCCCCAAAAATGCACTTACAAAAGCACTTACAATAGCACTTACAATAATACACTTACATAACTGTTCGAGTTGGGAGCTGTACGAAACTCGGGGTACCACTATATCATTATTCATCATGGAAAGCCATTTTCTTCTAGGGCTAAGATTCTACACAAGATATATCTTTCTTTCTTTCAACACACCAGCCATATCCCACCGAGGCGGGGTGGCCCAAAAGGAAAAACGAAAATTTCTCCTTTTACATTTAGTAATATATACAGGAGAAGGGGTTACTAGCCCCTTGCTTCCGGCATTTTAGTCGCCTCTTACGACACGCATGGATTACTGAGGAAGAATTTTGTTCCACTTCCCCATGGAGAACAAGATATATATTTATAAGAAATGGCAAGATATATTTTTATAAGAAATGACACATGAAATATATTTGCAATACAATATTGAATTTTGTTACATAGATATTTTTATTTTTGTTACTACCCTCCACCACCACTCTTATTATAATCTACTTCCTGCATCATATAATTTTTATATATGATCTTATGTTAATATTTTTCATTATTTCACTTCTTTATATATATCACCAATACAAGAAACCATCTTCCTCTGCCACCATTTGCCTTATTAACTTTTCTAACTCACCCTAATATGTATCTGTTACCACATACCTATACAGTGTGGATAGATAGAAAATACACCAACAGTCAGTGTGAGAAAGAGAGAGACAAATACAGCCACAAAGTACAGGGCCTTGACAACATGTCACCATGGACACAGAAGCACCTGCTGCTTATAGTAAACCACTTGCACATATCCTGAAAGAATCAATATAAACAGGCAGATTACCAGACATCCAGAAGACAACAAATGCAATTTCAACATTAAAAAATGGCAACAGCAGGATGGCACTAAACTACAGATCAATACTGCTGGCTCTCATTCCTTGCAAAGTAATGGGAGAAGACAAGAAAAGACACTAAGAGAACAACTTGAGGAAATATGATTCGTCTCTCAACAGCAACAAGCCTTCAGGAATGTTAAGACCTGCTTCACTAACCTGAATAAAAAAAAACAAGAAAAGGTTGTGCAGACTGCATTTTCCTTGTCTGTGAAAGTCTATGATACCATGCCCAAGCTTATGAGAAGAGCCCCAACATCAGATTACAGATTATAGTAAGATTACATTGACTGGTACAGGAATGCTCAGGAAAGTGGTCAATCAAATTCAATCCAAGTAAATCTTAATTAATTATTATTAGAACATTCATGGGAATGCATTAAACCCATAAGGGTCATATGGGAAATGGAAGGTGGTCAGGTTTGATCCAAGAAAGGAAAGGGTAATTCAAATTCCTTGGATCAAAAATGTAAAATAATGAGAGGTGCAAAGGAGACCAGACAGTGTACCATATTCTTGAGAAAGCAGTGCTGTACAATGGTCACATACCATGTAGCATGGCCTGAGATCAAATTTCTTGTTTTTGACTAGTCAATCAGGCTGATGCTATAGCTAACCATATTCCTATGTAACAATTACAACCTGGTTGATAAGGCACTTGTAGCAGGTAGTGGTCCAGTTTCCTCTAGAAGAAATTTACCTTTAGTCCTTCAATATTTACCTCTGCTGGTAAACCATTCAAGAATTTTGAACCAAAAATATTGACAGTTCTCCAAGTGTGTCTTTGGCACATTCAAAATACTCAAAGCTGCTGACATGATAGACAAGGCTAAGTTCTTCACCGAGGATAAACTAGATATAATGTGGCATGGTTGTAAATTACACACCCAAATGAGTTATTATGATATTAAAAAATATTTCAACAAAGCAGTCAAGATATGAGATTACCTAAAAAATAGTCCAAACAAAAGTTCAAAAGCAGATATGACAAGCCAATTTCATACCAGTTGGTCTAAAATTAATAGGGAGGAGACCAGGAGCTGAAGTTCATCCTCCCACAAATTTAAACAGGTAATAACACAAGGAAAACCTGAAGATGGTGAAGAGTAAGCCATACCAAATAATTGCTGAGCAAAGATAGGGCCCAATAACTGGAGCTCAACTTCTACAAATACTAGGCACTCCCACATTCAGTAAAAATAATGAACAAACTGCAGGAGTGATTTAACAAATGGCTTCCAGCAGCTGGGCATCAACTGAGCCGATAACCAGAGGTTAAACAAGTGGTTCCCAGCAGTTGGGCATCATACTGAGCCTATAACCAGAGGTTTAACAAGTGGCTCCCAGCAGTTGGGCATCACAATGAGCCTATCACCAGAGGCTCACATAAACAGGACATCAGACACAAAGGCTAAATTGATAAATACAATACAGGGAGTAATCACAGCAACCAATTAATGGTCAAGGGGTAGCGACTAGGAACTGAAGTTCATTTCCTACAAGTACATATACAAGTCACATAATATCACATAAGATCTTAAAGTGTGCAGGTGACTGCCTTTGCAAATACAGACACACACAATTTCTTAATTTCTTGAAATATACTAATAATGGGGACATAATTTTAGATTATGAAAAAAAAAAGTTATGAGGACAGACACTAAAGAAAAAATATTTCTTAAATAGTGGTAGACAGCTGCAATGACTTCCAAGGCAAGGCAGTGTGTTACAACTACTAGAAACTTTAAAGTTTTATATGACAAATTAATTATAGAAACCAAGATACCATGAACATTGCTCTACCCTTTTAACTATAAAAAGGCAATTATATACACTAACTCACACACACACCTTCCTTTTCCTTCACTACATCTTTCACACTGTCTCAGGCAATGAAATACATAAGTACATATACCAAAAATGGCCACATAAAGCGAATGTACATTTATGAAAAGTAATTATGAATGGCAAAACAATAACTAAAAAGTACAATCACAGCCATTTTTCCTCTTTCACTTAAAGAGTTACAGCTTTTGTCCAAAAGTAATCCCATTATGTTTCTATTTCAAACAGCTGGCAAGGAGGAAGACTTGGACGCTCACAAAGTGTATTTGACTGTTTTAAATTGATCTTGATGTACATTATCTTCCAGGCTCGGTCCACTGGACTGCACACTAAGCCAGATTCTTGCTCAAAAATCCCTACCAATGCATTTTTATGATGTAATGTACCACAACAGCAAATCTTCACCAGTCCATGATCTGACTTGAAAGCTTGTGTTCCATTTTCCAAATTTGGACTGAAGAGAAGACTATATGCCATGAAAGTTTCTCTTAAAAGTGCATAAGTGTTATCTCTACCCTGGGCATGTTTCTCACCACATGAATGTCCAATAAAATAAATATCTGCAAAGCTATTGCTGTAAAAGATGTCTTCCCGAAAGGTGTCACCAATGTGGTGTGCACACACTGGCTGTAAGCGATTCACCATATTAAAATACCATTCGCAGAAATCTCTGGTGAAGTCATCACTCCTAATGACACTCACTATTGGCTGAGCAAAAGGTGTGACATCAAATTCAGATTCAGTATCGTCATTAGCAATATTTTTTTCTACTTGAGTGCCTGAAACAGTACGATTTAGTGATCTAACTGCATTGGTGCTTGAAGGACTGTGTATAGATTTATTTCTATCAGTAGATGTGATATCTTCAGTTTTATCAGTGTTTGTGCTAGCTACTCTAAGTCTACCACTAGAGACATTGCCTTTTCTACCTTTGGGACTTTCAATTTCAGGATCTGAAGATGCCCTTCGTTTTAAAGTTGTAGGCTTTGACACAGCTTTTCTGCCACACTGCTTTTCCTGAAAAAAGGTGAGCATAACATTTAATAAATTTCATTACAATAATCCTGTGTGGAGAGACCATCATCTAGGAAGGTTGGCAAAGCATCATAGAAGACAGCTGGAGAAAATACAAAAGGCAAACACTAAGACATTTTGTTATAACTGTTTTGACCCTGGGACTTTGGTCATTAAGTACTGAAATATATCAAATGCCCTAATGTTTTCACTTAGTATCTTTTTCCAACTACTTATTGGTATCACATTCCATATTTACCAGTATGTTATAGACAAACAAAGATATTCAGGAACATATCTTTTCATAATACAATACTGTACTTTTGCTGCTCAGTAGTATCCAGTCACTCCATAAACTAATTGTTAATTATTACACAAAAATTTTCACAAATAAATTATCAATCATGCATAAAATTTAATAATTTACAAGCTTTGAAGGAATAAACAAACATTTTCTGGATCAAATTTTTTCACACTATACAGAAATTTTTTTTGATTTGGTAAATTTATTTAACCTCAAGAAATTTAATGGAAGTAAATATCAGGTGGGGATATAGTTTTGGAGTGGTTGGTGCAATTATTTAATAAATGTATGGAAGAGGGTAAGGTACCTAGGGATTGGCAGAGAGCATGCATAGTTCCTTTGTATAAAGGCAAAGGGGATAAAAGAGAGTGCAAAAATTATAGGGGGATAAGTTTGTTGAGTGTACCTGGTAAAGTGTATGGTAGAGTTATTATTGAAAGAATTAAAAGTAAGACGGAGAATAGGATAGCAGAAGAACAAGGAGGCTTTAGGAAAGGTAGGGGGTGTGTGGACCAGGTGTTTACAGTGAAACATATAAGTGAACAGTATTTAGATAAGGCTAAAGAGGTCTTTGTGGCATTTATGGATTTGGAAAAGGCGTATGACAGGGTGGATAGGGGGGCAATGTGGCAGATGTTGCAAGTGTATGGTGTAGGAGGTATGTTACTGAAAGCAGTGAAGAGTTTTTACGAGGATAGTGAGGCTCAAGTTAGAGTATGTAGGAAAGAGGGAAATTTTTTCCCAGTAAAAGTAGGCCTTAGACAAGGATGTGTGATGTCACCGTGGTTGTTTAATATATTTATAGATGGGGTTGTAAGAGAAGTAAATGCGAGGGTCTTGGCAAGAGGCGTGGAGTTAAAAGATAAGGAATCACACATAAAGTGGGAGTTGTCACAGCTGCTCTTTGCTGATGACACTGTGCTCTTGGGAGATTCTGAAGAGAAGTTGCAGAGATTGGTGGATGAATTTGGTAGGGTGTGCAAAAGAAGAAAATTAAAGGTGAATACAGGAAAGAGTAAGGTTATGAGGATAACAAAAAGATTAGGTGATGAAAGATTAAATATCAGATTGGAGGGAGAGAGTATGGAGGAGGTAAATGTATTCAGATATTTGGGAGTGGACGTGTCAGCGGATGGGTCTATGAAAGATGAGGTGAATCATAGAATTGATGAGGGGAAAAGAGTGAGTGGTGCACTTAGGAGTCTGTGGAGACAAAGAACTTTGTCCTTGGAGGCAAAGAGGGGAATGTATGAGAGTATAGTTTTACCAACGCTTTTATATGGGTGTGAAGCATGGGTGATGAATGTTGCAGCGAGGAGAAGGCTGGAGGCAGCGGAGATGTCATGTCTGAGGGCAATGTGTGGTGTGAATATAATGCAGAGAATTCGTAGTTTGGAAGTTAGGAGGAGGTGCGGGATTACCAAAACTGTTGTCCAGAGGGCTGAGGAAGGGTTGTTGAGGTGGTTCGGACATGTAGAGAGAATGGAGCGAAACAGAATGACTTCAAGAGTGTATCAGTCTGTAGTGGAAGGAAGGCGGGGTAGGGGTCGGCCTAGGAAAGGTTGGAGAGAGGGGGTAAAGGAGGTTTTGTGTGCGAGGGGCTTGGACTTCCAGCAGGCATGCGTGAGCGTGTTTGATAGGAGTGAATGGAGACAAATGGTTTTTAATACTTGACATGCTGTTGGAGTGTGAGCAAAGTAACATTTATGAAGGGGTTCAGGGAAACCGGCAGGCCAGACTTAAGTCCTGGAGATGGGAAGTACAGTGCCTGCACTCTGAAGGAGGGGTGTTAATGTTGCAGTTTAAAAACTGTAGTGTAAAGCACCCTTCTGGCAAGACAGTGATGGAGTGAATGATGGTGAAAGTTTTTCTTTTTCAGGCCACCCTGCCTTGGTGGGAATCGGCCAGTGTGATAATAATAATAAATATCATAACACTAATGGCTGCTTGCCAGTTTTATATAAAGTGACCCATAAAATAGCAAATGCATATTCATTCATCTTTACTTATGTTCCTCTTTAAGAGTGGGAAGATTCTGTGTACTGTGTTTGGAAGTCTCTCTTTCCAGCATAGTTCATGGATGAGGATCCAAGCACTGTCTTTGGTTGAAATGACAAAGAGATTTCCTCATCTACTAAAATTTCTGAATAAATGATTCCAATGGATTTATCGCTCATGAGCAAAACAAACAAATCTCTCACATTCAACTGCATCACACATGCAAATAATGTTATATACTGTGATCAAACTTAAAAAAAAAAAAAAAAGTACGAATAAAACTCAGATTCAAACAATAGCAAAAGCAATTACATTCTCTCTCCTCAGCTAAAGGCTTAACAGCTCACCCATAAGTCCTTCACAGCCATGATCATTTGATTTTTATTGGCAAAACCCATCGATGGTACTTGATACTTGTGGAGATACAGAAACAGTGTTTGTGCAGACAAGCGACGGTAGGAAAAGAAACGTCCCAAGTCTGGAGTGTGCAGGAGAATAATTTCTATGGCCTCTGTAACAAATTAATGTTTGTGTATTAATTAAGTTGCAAATATATTAAACATATACTTCTTAACAATAAGTGAATAGATGAATTGAAAGCTAGTTTTTTTATGAACACTGTGCACAAATTTGCTACCTCTGTAGTATATTGGTGCTAAATAATTTACTGATACTTAAGAATGCACTTCTAAATACGGTATTACAATAAAAAAAAAAATTTCTGTGAATGAATGAACATTAGTTTATGAAATCAGAGCTTAATCTCCTTTTAATTCATAACATCAGCTGTGGAAGCTGTGGTAGTACAGTAGACACAAAAGTGAAGTATCTTGACATTCAAAATGTGGAAAGCTGTTATACAGCAGATAAAGTAATTATGACAGCAAAAGGAAGCCTGATTTTGTAAAATTTAATTCTTATATGGACTAATATTACTGTGAATGGTAAGAATCTATAGGAACACATATAATGCAGAAAGCACACCTTATCAAAATCCAGGATTTTTGGGCATTTGTGATTTCTAGAGATTACAGATGTGCTACAAATGTTGGAAAAACAAGCAAAATAAAACAAAAGTAAAAGTATTATACTACCACTAGAATTAAGAGGCAAAATGCGGTTGTTTGTGGATGTCCGAGCCAGAGCGAGTAGAGCTTCAGAATCTAACATTTCAAGTAGCCCACGCACACCGGCTTCATAGATGGAGTGAAGGAGGCTCATGACTGAGGAAGACCTGCAACAATCAGCATATTATAAAAAAAAAAAATTTGACAATGACAGAAAAAGAGAGAGAGAGAGAGAAAGGAGACATCTCACTCCTGCATTTTCACACAGCATATTCTACCAACTGATTGAAATTATTAATAAAAATTATTATACTGTTACAGTAATAATCATGGTGAACAGGAGTAACAGGTGTAAGGAAACATGCTCATTTCCACTCGCCTGAGAACTGAACCTGGGTCCTCCAGTTATGAGTTGAGAGGTACTACTAATGAATAATGAGCTAAAGTTATGGTCACTTTACCCCTCTCCAATACCATGTTCATTTTGATATAATGCTTAATGAAATCAATGCATCATTATACTCCTAGGGAAGTGCTGTACCAATATGGTTCAGACAGCATCAGGGAAATTACAACCTGTGAGGAATTACAACCTACAGAATGTAACATGAAGTTAGTAAGTAAACTACAGTGTTTAAAATACACTCATTAATGTACAGTGTATAACAAGCAGTAACCTACAGTGTATAATACATAGTAACATACAGTGTATAACACATAGTAACATACAGCATATAAAAAGCAGTAACATGCAGTGTATAAAAAGTACTAATACAATATATAACAAGTAGTAACATAGTGTATAATATGCACTAACATACAGCATATAACACGCACTAACATACAGTGTATAACATACACTAACGTACAGTGTATAACATACACTAACATACAGTGTATAACATACACTAACATACAGTGTATAACATGCACTAACATACAGCATATAACATACACTAACATAGTGCATAACATACACTAACATACAGTGTATAACATACACTAACATACAGTGTATAACATACACTAACATAGTGCATAACATACACTAACATACAGTGTATAACATACACTAACATACAGTGTATAACATACACTAACGTACAGTGTATAACATTCACTAACATACAGTGTATAACATACACTAACATACAGTGTATAACATGCACTAACATACAGCATATAACATACACTAACATAGTGCATAACATACACTAACATACAGTGTATAACATGCACTAACATACAGTGTATAACATACACTAACATACAGTGTATAACATGCACTAACATACAGTGTATAACATGCACTGAAGTTAAGACACGTGTGCAACCTCTGGGTATCTTTGTTGTAGATGTTTCGCCATCCAGTGGCTTTATCAATACAAATTCCAGGACATAACTTGAAGACAGTAGAACTATATACAGAAGATGAGGTAATCAGTCCCTCAACCTGTATATAGTCCTACTGTCTTCAAGTTTCCTACTGTCTTCAAGTTATGTCCTGGAATTTGTATTGATAAAGCCACTGGATGGCAAAACGTCTACAGTAAAAATACCCAGATGTTGCACATGTGTCTTAATTTCATCTTGTCGGTATTATATACCATTCTTGCATAACATGCACTAACATACAGTGTATAACATGCACTAACATACAGTGTATAACATGCACTAACATACATTGTATAACATACACTAACATACAGTGTATAACATACACTAACATACAGTGTGTAACATACACTAACATACAGTGGATAACATACACTAACATACAGTGTATAACACAAATAACCCGCACATAAAAGAGAGAAGCTTACGACGACGTTTCGGTCCGACTTGGACCATTGACAAAGTCACACTAACCAGAAGTGGAGCAGGATGGCTATATATAGGCAGGAAGAGGTGGTGGTAGTAGCAGTAGCAGTGCAAGAATGGTATATAATACCGACAAGATGAAATTAAGACACATGCGCAACACCCGGGCATCCCTATCATAGACGTTTCGCCATCCAGCCAGCCACTGAATGGTGAAACGTCCACAACAAAGACAACCAGACGCCACACATACAGGTTTTTCCTTTTCCGTTTACCGAAAACCTATGCACAGTGACATGTACATTCACTACTTTTCCTATCATGCTTCTCCTGTCAAGAAAAGTGTTCTTATCTCCCTCTTTCTCCGTGCCCTCCGCATCTGTGATCCTCAGTTCCTTCCAGCAGAAATTTCCACTCTTCATAATGTAGACAGCCTGTACTGTCTGCACAAACAGCCCATGCTGTCTGCCAGCTTAGTTCATATTTCGCGCCACTTCAGTGTTGCCCTCTGTAGCCAGGCCTCTCGGTAGGCACGCCAGCCTGTCTACCCATGCCTCGCTCTCACTCACACAGCGGCCTAGCAGCAAGACACAAGGCCTACTAGCTCTCTCTCGTGGGATGGCCCTCCCGGGCCATGGGCACAACACACAAGCCTGTGTACCCACCACGACTTAACAATAAAGTAAGAAGCCTCCAAAGATTTAAGTTGTTCAATGTGGATAGATCTAATGGGAAGGGCGGAGGAGTTGCATTATATGTTCGAGAAAATATTAATTGTTGCATAAAAACAGGTATAAAAATAGATGGAGCAGTAACAGAATCTGTTTGGGTACAGTTTGTAGAGGGTCAAGAAAAACTAATTCTAGGTGTAATATACCGACCTCCAGGCTTGGATCACAATAGAGGGAGACTTCTTTGGGACGAAATTGTTAGGGCTTCTAGACACAATAACATAGTAGTCATAGTAGGGGACTTTAACTTTAGTCAAATTGACTGGAATTCTTTGACAGGTAATCTAGAGTCCAGTGACTTTATGGAAACAGTTCAGGACTGTTTTCTGAAGCAGAGCGTAACAGAGCCTACCAGGGGTAATAATTTGCTAGACCTAGTCTTGTCAAATAAGGAAACACTCGTGAATAATCTCGAGATCACTGAAGAGCTTGGCGCAAGTGATCACAAATCCATCACTTTTAGCATTAACTGGGAATGCAAGAATAATGATAATACAGTAAAAATCCCTGATTTTCATTCTGCCGATTATAATGGACTTAGGGAACACCTGTCTAATCTTGATTGGGGTTATCTAGCTAATGATTTTATTAACGATGATCATACTTATGATTATGAAGGGATCTGCTTTTATGATTGTTTTCTTAATAATGTACACCGTGCCCAGAGTATATACATTCCCCAGAGAGAAATTAGGTCTAATAATAACGATCCCAAATGGGTTAACAGGAGGCTAAAGTATCTATTAGGGGAGAAAAGGGGAATTTATAGGCACATCAGAAGAGGAGAGGTTGACCTTACTGACCAGTATGTTCAACTTAAAAGAGAAGTAAAAAAGGGGATTAGAAAGGCTAAACGTGACTATGAAATTAAAGTTGCTAATGAATCAAAGACTAATCCAAAGGGGTTCTTTCAAGTGTATAGGACGAAGGTGAAGGAAAAAGTAGGACCTCTGAAAATTGGGAATGGACAGCCGACGGATAATGAACTGGAAATGTGCTCCTTATTTAATGACTATTTTTTGTCAGTTTTTACACAGGAAGATGTAAATGAGATTCCAGTAATTAACAATTATTTAGTTCCTGATGAATTTAAGTTAACTAATATTACTGTCACGAGGGACATGGTTATTAAACAGATAGACAAACTGAAGCAAAATAAGTCCCTGGGACCCAATGAGCTGTTTTCCAGGGTACTTAAGGAATGCAAGATAGAGCTTAGTCAGCCATTAACGAGTGTATTCAATGCATCCATCCTTACCGGTGTTGTGCCAGAGTTGTGGAAGATGGCTAATGTGGTTCCTAATTCAAATCAGGGGATAAAGTCACTCCTTCAAATTACCGTCCAATAAGCCTGACATCTATAATGGGCAAGTTATTAGAATTAATTATAGCTGACATTATCAGAAGTCACCTTGAAGAGCATAACTTGATAAATGAATCTCAGCATGGATTCACGAAAGGTCGTTCCTGCCTGACAAACTTACTGACGTTCTTCAATAGAACATTTGAGGCAGTTGACAGTGATAAGGAATATGATATTGTTTATTTGGATTTTAGTAAAGCTTTCGATAGAGTACCTCACAAGAGACTCTTAAGAAAAGTGGCAGCTCATGGTATAGGAGGTAAAGTTCTAGCATGGATTGAGGCATGGCTTACCAATAGAAAGCAGAGAGTTACCATTAATGGAGTGAAATCTGAATGGGGATTAGTCACTAGTGGCATTCCACAAGGATCAGTTTTAGGCCCTCTCTTGTTCATAATTTACATTAATGACCTTGATGAAGGGATTATGAGTGACATGAGTAAGTTTGCTGACGATACAAAGATAGGCCGTATAATTCACTCTGAGGAGGACGTCAATGAACTCCAGGACGATTTGAAAAATGGCAGATGAAGTTCAATGTGGATAAGTGTAAGGTACTTGCCCTTGGTAATGAAAATAACCCTCGAAGCTATAATCTAGGTGAAGTAGAGCTTGATCATACAGAATGTGAAAAAGACTTGGGAGTCATGGTAAGCAGAAATCTAAAGCCAAGACAGCAGTGCCTTAGTGTGCGCAACAAGGCCAACAGATTACTTGGATTTATCTCAAGAAGTATAAGTAACAGAAGTCCAAAAGTTATTTTACAGCTCTATACATCACTAGTGAGGCCTCATTTGGATTATGCTGCTCAGTTTTGGTCTCCTTACTACAGGATGGACATAGACTCATTAGAGAACATACAGAGAAGAATGACTAAAATGATTTACTGTGCAAGGAACCTCCCGTATGAAGATAGACTTAAAGCCTTAAATCTCCACTCTCTGGAGAGGCACAGAATGAGAGGAGATATCATTGAAGTGTATAAGTGGATGACAGGCATAAACAAGGGAGATATTAATAAAGTACTGAGGGTGTCGAACCAGGTAAGAACCAGAAATAATGGATATAAGTTGGATAAATTTAGATTTAGGAAGGACATAGGTAAGTACTGGTTTTCTAACAGAGTTGTAGATGCGTGGAACAGTCTTCCTAGTGGGGTGATAGAAGCTAGGACCTTGGGTAGCTTTAAGAAGAGACTGGACAAATATATGAGTGGGAGGGGCTGGGTTTGATTGGTGTCATGGGGCACGGGAGTTATTTCTTGGGTAGCTTTAGGTAG